TGTAATGAAACAAGTTATATGAATTGTTGAATGTGAAACTGATGATGTGCCCTGTAAACTTTCACTCAATCCACAATAAAAACCTTAAATTAAAAAAACAACAAAAAAACAACAACAACAACAAAAAAAGAATAAGTATGCCAGCAGCAGACTCCTGAAAATCAGCACCGTCCCTCAGCTGAATGCCAAAGCCATCAAAGACTGTGCCTCACCGCTGATGGGAAGACCCTAGACTGCCTTGGCTTGGGGACTCTTGACTTTGTACATAGTCCTCCAGTCTGTTTCATGGAGCCTTTTCTGAGATGTTCTAAATGTATATTGAGGAACAATAAAGCTATTGATTTTTCTTTAAAATATATATATATATAGCTTCTGAAAGCCTACACAGGGTCTTTATGAGTGGGAACTGACTCAATGGCCCTTAACAGCAACAACATATGTACAGATGGACACCCTGGGTAGCATAAGTAGCTAAGTCTTCAGCTACTAACCTGAAGGTTGATGTCCAATCTACTCAGAGACAACTCAGGGGAATAAACCCCTGGCATTAACATGCCTTGGAAAGATCACAATCACTGAAAACTCCATGAAAAGCACAGCTTTACTTTGAAGTACTTGGATCAGATTGGATTTAACAGCAACTGATACATGTACAGACATTGTTGTTTTAACTTTTTATTGTGAATTGAGTGAAGATTTACAGACAAGATCACCAGTTTCACATTTACTAAATCATACACTTTGTTTCATCTCATTGGTTGGAATCCCTTCCATGTAACAACAGTTCTCCCATTTACTCCCTATGGTTCCTATGTCCATTTCACCCTCCTTCTTTGTGTTTAGGTAAATTTCACATCTCTTTGTGTTTAGGTAAATTTCACATCTCAACTTTGTGTTTAGGTAAATGTTGCCCTTTTGATCTTGAATAATTGACCATTCCAAGGTGAGCATACCTTACTAGTGCTGTTGTTCCCTCTTATATATCTATCTACTGCTTGGTTGAAATGGGGCCATGAGGGTTCTAGACCTGAATGTTCGTAGAAGGCCATGTCTCTGTTCCTCCAGTCTCTTTCTGAACTGTCAGCCTGGTCTTTTTTTATATATGTGTATAATTTTGAGTTTTCTTCCACGTTTTCTCCCACTCAAACTAGGACCTTCTAATGTGATTCCTCTCAGAGCAGTTGGTAGTGATAGCCAAGCACCATTTAGTTCTTCTGGTCTCACGGCCATATTCACTGATGATCACGTGCTCAATTGGTCCACTGGACTAGCTGATTCCAAGCATCGTCAATTTTCATCACTCTTCTTTCTTCTGCACAATGAGAGAACAATAGGTGCACCTTAAATGTCTGCTTGAGAGCTTTTAAGATCCCTGGCACTACTCACCAAAGTAGGATGTAGAACATTGTCTTTGTGGACTGTGCTATGTCAATTTAGCATGGTCAGACAGTTTTAATGATTATAAAAAAGAAGAAGAAGAAACCATAATAAAAGGAAGAGATGGCTTTGTCTCTTGCTGGGAAGCCAGTGGTGGGAGTGCCCACAACAGTGATGTGACAAGCAGAAACTTAAACAATTGATGGAATCTTCCCATTGCTTTACTGGCTGGTTGGGTGCTGCTGAATTGAGTCTGACTCACAGCAACTCTGTATGAGCTTCTGAAGCGGTAAATCTTTACAGGAACAGAAAGCCTCATCTTTCGGAGAACACCTGGTGGACTTCAGCTGCTGAACTTGAGGGTAGTAGCCCAACTCGTAATCCACTACATCATCAGGACTCCATAACACCTGACCAGCTTATTTCAAAATCAAACAGTCTCTGACAAACATTTACCATAATGCCTGGCAGAAAGAAGGAGGGAGGTCCCATTAGTTTTCTGAAGGATTGGCTTTTTATCTGTGAAATCTTCCATGGAGTTCTATTTGTAGTCCCTGACCCCTGTCTTGGTAGTGCTGTGAGTTAAGCATTGACCACAAAGTCAGTGATTCAAACTCACCAGTCTCTGTGAGAGAGAAAGATTTAGTCTCCATACCCTAAGGAATAGTTCTACCCTATCCTATAAGGCCGCTGTAGTCAGAATCCACTCAATGGCAGTGGGATTTGTTTTGTTTTTTACCCCTTTCTGGGTATAATAAGTTTCCTCAACTGTGAAAGGGAAGCATTGTGTTATGCTTCCCTTTCTTAAAACCACTTTATTGTCATCTCCTCCTGATGATGTTATGCAAAAGACTGAAACAAGACCTTCACCTCACACCTTATACAAAATCCAACTCACTATGGATTAAGGACCTAAATGTGAATCCCAGAATTATGAAGGCCATCAATGAAAAAATCGGGACAAATGTGAGGGCACTAATTCTGGGAATACATAGACTACAAAACATTTTGAAAACCACACCAACAAAAGTAGATAAAATAGATAAGTTGTTGTTGTTGTTGTCATGTGCCATGGAATCAGTTCCGACTCATAGTGACCCTATACAGGGTTTCCGAGGCTCTAAATCTTTACAGGAGCAGAAAGCCTCATGTTTCTCCTGCAGAACAGCTGGTAGTTTCGAACTGCTGATCTTGAGATTCGCAGCCTGATTTGTAACCACTACGCTGCCAGAGCTCCTTAAAATAGATGAGTGGGACATACTAAAATTAAGAACTTATGTGCATCAAAAGACTTCACCAGAAGAGTAAAAAGGGAACCCACAGAATGGGAAAAAATCTTTTGCAATGACACATCAGACAAGGGACTCATTTCTAAAATATACAGGAAACTACAACACCTCTACAAGAAAAAGACAAATAACCCAATTAAAAAGTGGGCACAGGACATGAACAGACACTTCACTAAGGAAGAGATCTGGCAGCCAACAAACATATGAAGAAATGTTCATGATCACTAGCCATTGTTGTTGTTGTTGTTGTTGTCAGGTGCCATCGAGTCAGAACTGACTCATAGCGGCCCCATGCACAGCAGAGCGAAACAATGTCTGATCCTGGGCCAACCTCACTAACCATTAGAGAGATGCAAATCAAAACAACAATGAGATATCATCTCACACCTACAAGAACAGCAAAGATAAAAAATGTAGAGGACAACAAATGCTGGCGGGGATGAGAGGCTGGGACACTCCTGCATTGCTGGTGGGACTGCAAAATGGTCCAACCTCTCTGGAAAGCAATATGGCATTTCCTCAGAAGGTTGAAAATAGAAATACCTTATGATCCAGCAATTCCTCTACTTGGTATTTACCCACAAGAAAAACCAGGCACAATTCAAGAAGATATATGCACACCAATGTTCATAGCATCACTATTTACAATAGCAAAAAGATGGAGGCAGCCAAAGTGCCCATCAACTGAAAAATGGATAAACAAACTGTGGTAATACACACAATGGAATATTATGCTACCTTGAAGAATAACAAGGATGCTGCAAGTCACTGCATAACATGGATGAACCTTGAGGACATTATGTTGAGTGAAATTAATTAGTCACAAAAAGAGAAATACTGCATAGGACCACTACTGTAAAAGACTAAGAAAAAGAACCCACACTTAAAACCACTTTATTGTCATCTAGATTTGATCCACACTCAATCAGGACCAAGCAGGTCCAACCAGGTCTAAATGCAGTTCCTCAATTCCTAATGTCTGCAATCTCTTGCTTTGCACCTATGGTTCTTTACCTTTGCCTGGAAACCTGTCCCCACTTCCGCCACCTGATTTCTCCTATCCTGTAGGCCTCAGCCAGAATGCTACTTCTCTCAGGAAACCTTCGAGATCCCCAGAGTCGGTTAGGGTAGCTTAGGTGTCCGGTTTTTAGTCTATCTCTTCAATCAGCCAGTCAGATTCGAAGAGCATTCTCTTCCCCTGCAGCTTGAGGGCCAGGGCTAGATGGCTTCAAGATTTTGGCCGGATCTGTCAGTCAATCCCTCTCCGAGCTGGTTCTGGATTGGAGCACAGGTTGAGAACTGCTGGCTGAGAGAGACCATTTTTGGTGTGCAGCTGGGTACTTGGGAGGATGTTGTTGTTGTTGTCCCATGCAGTTGGTTCCTACTCATAGTAAGTCTGCACAGGGTTTCCAAGGCTGTAAATCTTTATGGGAGCAGAACACCTCATCTAGTTGGTTCGGACTCATAGTGAGTCTGCACAGGGTTTCCAAGGCTGTAAATCTTTACGGGAGCAGAACGCCTCATCTTTCTCCCGTGGAACCGATGGTAGTTTCGAACTGCTGACCTTGAGGTTAGCAGCCCGATTCGTAACTATTACTCTACCAGAGCTCCTTACTTGGGAGGACAGTGTAGCTTTAAGGGAAAGTCGCCTAAGAAGCGTGCCCCTCATACTCATGGGCGTAGCCCTTCCTTTTTGCCCGGCCCTGCGGACTGCCCTACAATAGGATGGCGTTTGCGGAAGGCGCAGGATTCTTATTGGTGCAGAAGGGCTTGGGCGACGCTGATTGGTGAAGGGTGGGGGCGTTTTAGGGACGGGACCAGGCGTCTCCCGATCTAGCCTAGTGCGCCGTCGCCTACGCCGTGATTATGTCTCGGGCACGGGGCCACTTGCTTCCGGGCTTATTCCTGGCAACGGTTTCAGCGCGCAGGGTAACGACCCGGGTAGGGGCGCGGTTGGGCGTAAGCCCGCAGCCGGCACCGCCAGAGCCCAGCATGGAGTATCAGGTATCTGGCGGGCCTAGCGGGCGATGGTGCGAGGACACGTGGGCTGGGCCTGAGTCTCCAGCATTCGGGCTTCACGAGCTGAGTGGATGGGTGCCTAGGAGCATTGGGGCTCGGGTGTTTGGGGGACAGCGACATCCTGGATTTTGGGGGTGGAAATTGTTGTTGAGTGCTATCGAATCGGTTCTGGCTCACAGCGACCCTGTATAAGGTTTCTGAGGAGTAACTGTTGGGTTTCAACCACTGACCTTGTGGCTCGCAGTCCAGTGCTGATCCTACAGTGTTACACCAGAGGGTGGAGATAGAGATTATGAAATTAGGCTGGTTCTGCAGGATCTGGGAGTTTTGAGGTGTTGGGGACTAAAGACTGCGAAGGAGCACATCGTGATGGGGCACCGTGGTGGCCCAGGGACTCTAGGGAGTCCTGGACTTCCAGCGGTTCTGGAATCCGAATCCTCAGTGCTAGGTGAGGAAGAAACCCAGGCGTTCGTTCATGCTTGATGGATCCAGAAGTATACATATGGGGGCAGACTCTCCAGGATTCAGTGGTTTGGGGATCCAAGTGCTTGAAAGTGGGGGCAATGGGGTGCTTGCCTAAGGTTAGTTGCAAGAGGAAGTGGGGAGGTAGGGGGTGGCACTTGTTTGATGGGGGTTGGACCACCCCCACCTAGCTATTGAGGTTCTGAGGATGAGCGACACCAAATCTGAGGCCTGAGGAGAAATAAACAGCACCTTCACCCCTACCCTAGTGTGGGCCTTGCAGAGGCAGAACTACCTTGGCTGGGTGATCCTGAGCACAGCCTTTCTCTCTTCCTCACCTGGTTACTTCTCTGGGTCAAATCTGAATACCTCTAAGAATTCCAGAACTGTAATTAATACCCTCTCTACTTCCCCACTCCAGTAGGTGCTTAGTACAGTGATAGGCCCCTTTGGAGGAAACAAGGGGAAAGGGCCCACCCAGGTGGTGAAGCCTGGGGAGCATGAATAAAAAAAACACAAGCCTCTTCTCATGAATCAGGCATGCCACCTGCTTTGTCTAGAATTCCTTGGGTGGGGCTGAGCTGCCCTAGGCTATTGTTTCTGCTAAAACTGGAAAGTCTCTCACCCAATGCCCAACCTTTAGGCTGGAGTGACAGGGTTGGCATGGCAGAATTGTACTCTGTCCTGGTCACTGGTGTGCCGGTATCTCGTATCTATGGATCCCTACCAAGCGTTAACCAGCTGTTTGGGAACTGTGGTTGTTAGGATGCTGTGCGCACGCTTAACACCCTGCAGACCAATGCTGGTTACCTGGAGCAAGTGAAGCGCCAACGGGGTGACCCCCAGACACAACTGGACACTATGGTGTTGTACCTGGCACGGAGCGGGCTGCAGGTAAGTAGGGCTGAGGTAGTCAGAGCCTGGGACTGTACTTTCCCACCCTGTCTGCCTGTTATTCCCATGACTGAGATGGGGACCTTATCTTCCTGGCCCAGGTGGAGGACTTGGACAAGCTGAACATCATCCATGTCACTGGGACCAAGGGGAAGGTAAGAGCCAGGACCTGAGGGTAGGGAGTCAACTTAGTGGCACTTGGGGTGAGGCCTTCCCAGATGAAATCTTTTCTTTTCTAGGGTTCAACATGTGCCTTCACTGAACGGATCCTCCGAAGCTATGGCCTAAAGACAGGATTCTTTAGGTACTAAGGTATAGGGGGAAGCGGTGCCTCTCTGGGAGTTTGTGGAACCAGCTAAAACCCCAGGGCCAGGGTCACTCCCAGAAGCTCATCTGCTGTCTCTCTGCCACAGACATTTATTCATTCAACAAACATTCTATTAGCATTTAACCTTATTGGCCCAAGTTTCTGGCAGTCTTTAATTTTCATAATGAAAACATTTTGGAAACAAAATGGGGGGGGTTGGGGCTTCCAAAAGTTAATGGAAAATTTTATCTTTTAAGTCCGTTTTTACGCAAACATTTTCAAAATCACCAGCTGCTTCATGGGAGAAAGATGAGGCTGTCTGCTTGTATAAAGGTTCACAGTCTCAGAGACCCTATATGAAGTCACAGTGAGTCAGAATTAACTCAGTGGCAGTGAGTTTGGTTTTGACTTAGTACACAGCTCGGAAAGTCAGATGTCTTTTTATTAACTGAATTCCACATAAATTTTTAAATCACATAGAAATTGATATTTATTCATGTAGCGTAGTGGTTACGAATTGGACTGCTAATCTCATGGTCAGCAGTTTGAAACTACCAGCTGTTCTGCGGGAGAAAGATGAGGCTTTCTGCTCCCATAAAGATTTACAGCCTTGGAAACCCTGTACAGGGTCGCTATGAGTTGGAACCATCGCCATGGCACATAACAGCAACAACAGTTGGTAGTTAAGGAGTCCTGGTGTGGCGCTGCGGATTAATGTGCCATACTGCAAAGCTGTTTGAACTGCAAGGTCGGCAGTTCAAGCTCACCAGCTGCTCCTTGGAAACACTAGACAGGTTCGTTATGGGTCAGAACTGACTTGACACTTAACAACAACAACATGGTAGTTAAACCCACCAGTTGCTCCTTGGAAACCCTATGTAGGGTTGCTATGAGTCAGAATGACTCGACAGCACTTAACAACAACACAGAGGCATTTTGGAAGAAAAGTCTGGTGTCAAAAATCAGACATTGTACTCTGACACACATGGGGTCACTATGAGTCAGAATCAAATTGATAGCAAATGATGTCCATTCCAAGGCTTCTGGGAGTTGGCAGCAGAAGGAAAGGTCTCAGCTGTGGCTTGGCCTTCCCACAAAGGATCTGAGGGTCACTCTTCATTGCGTCCTACAGGCCTTTCCAAATAAAAACATTTTGTTCCTTGGGGTTGAGGCATGTAAGATTTCATAACTTTTTATTGTAAATTGAGGGAAGCTTTATCGACAAGATCATCAGTTTTACAGTCAACAAATCATATTCTTTGTCTTATCTCAGTGATTGCAATCCCTTCCATGCAACAACAGTTACCCACTTCCTCCATGTGGTTCCTAGTTCCATTCCACTTTCTTAACTTTATCCTTAGGTAAATGTTGCCTTTTTCATCTTGAATGATTGAGCAGTCCATGGTAGCATACCTTACTCGTGTTGTTGTCTTCTTTATACCTATCTACTGCTTGGCTGTGAACTCCTGGTGTGGTGCTATAGGATCAGCACTGGACTGCAAACCACAAGGTCTGCAGTTCAAACCCTCTAACTGCTCCTCTAAAACTCTATAGAGGGTTGCTGTGAGTTGTAAACGACTCGATGACAACAATACTGCTTGACTGAAAATTGGACCACAAGGGTGAGTTCTGTATCAGACCTAAAGGATAGTTCAGGCCCATAATTGCCATCTCTTTCCTCCAGTCTCTTTATGACCAGTAATCCTGGTCTTTTTAAATTTTTAATAATTCTGAATTTTGTTCTACATTTTCTCCCACTATAACTGGGACCTTCTAATGTGATCCCTTTCAGTGCAGTTGGTAGTGGTAGCCAAGCACCATTTAATTCTTCTGGTCTAAGAGTTGTGGTAACTGATGTTCATGTGTGCCATTGGTCCAGTGGACTAGTTGATTCCAAGCATCTTCAGTTTTCTTCACTATTCTTTCTTCTGCACATTGAGAGAAGTACCTTAGGTATCCACTCATGAACTTTTTTTTTTAACTTTTATGAACCGAGTGAAGGTTTACAGAGCAGATCATCAGTTTTTGTAGTCAACAAATCACATACTTAGTTTCATTACAATGATTGTAATCTCTTCCATGTATCATCAGTTAACAGCATTTACCTCTGTTTACTTTATTTACTTATTTATTTATTTTTAAGTTTTTTATTGTAGATTGAGTGAAAGTTTACAGGGCAAATCATCAGTTTTACATTCAACAAATCATACACCTTTTTCATTGCAATGGTTATAATCCCCTCCATGTACCAACAGTTAGCGGTATTTGTCTCTATTCACTTTAGCTCTTTTGTTTTTTAAACACTCAGGCATATATAATAATTTACACCACCAAAGTGCACATTCTGCAAGTCTGCCTCCTGGCCACCAGCTCTTAGTCCCTCTCTTCCCATGAATCTAAGAGTCTTTAGC